TCTTCCTAAGGGCCAAACAACTTCAAACCCTGAGCCAACCACTTTCCCCAGTTTGCCTGAAAAAGTTGTAGGGACAGGCAACTTGAAATAAAAACAAAATAAATCAAAACAAGAACACATTGTTTTTTAAAATGGTCACCCATTCTCTCGCTCTTCCTTAGGGGCAAGCAATTTCACTTACCCCCAAGCTTCAGGCATTCCCTGTCCAGACCACCAAATGCCGCAGTCTGGCTGGGCACAATTCACGAGCCACTTATCAAGCAGGAATGAACCTTATTTTTAGAACACACACTCCTGCACCACAAGAGCTCTTCAGGAATTTCCTCAGAGCCCAGCTGCCACCTCAGGCACTCCCTGCCAGCACCTCCCCCAATCTCTTCCCACTCTTGAGGCCGATTGGCTGGGTCACATGGGCGGAGCCGATAGGGCGGGGAAACAGCCCAATGAGCATCACCGCAGAGGAGCCAATCAGCTGGTTTCTAGGGCCACGGTGAGCCAATCAGCTGGAAGTTCGCTGGGGCCGCTTCGGCTGTGGCTCTCAACAAACAAGACATATACATTCTACATAGAAGAAACACTTTAAATTCAAAGACTAAAACTTAAATGGAAAAAAAAAGATGTATAATGAAGACAGAACCATAAGAGCTGGATATCCTGGCTGGCCATACCAATAATGGACAAAATAGACCAAAGCCAAAAAAAAAAAAAAGGTATTAGAGGAGGAACATTTTAAGATAAAAGGATTAATCAACCTGGACAATATAATAATTATATACATAAATCTTACAAAAAAGCCCAACATTAAATGGGGAAGAAAAGAATAGTAATTAAGGAATACTGTGCTGGATCTTGAATATCTCTCAAGGACCCATGTGATCAAAGGTTTCGTCTGTGGTGCTGCCAGGAGGTGGCAAAACTTTAGGAGGTGGGGCCTACTAGAAGGAAGTTAGGTCACTGGGAATGTGCCATTGAAGGGATAATGGGACCTCCATCCCTTCTTCATTCTCCCTTTGTTTCCTGGTCACCATGACATCGAGAGGCCTCCTCTGCCACATGTTCCCACCATGATGTAGCAGGCCCAAGACAGCAGGGACAAGTGACCATGAAAACCATGAGCCAAAATGAAACTTTCCTCTTTATAATCTTATTATCTTGGGTATTTTGTCATAGTGATGAAAAGCTAATATAAGGAACAAGCAGTCTGACTCTTCAACAACAGTACTGGCAGTCAGTATCCCACCTTCTACAATTGTTCTGTAATGGACAGAACAACTAAGCAAACAACTGACAAGAACATAGAATATTTGAACATTATTAAGTAGATTGACATAACAGTATGAAACATCCAACAACAGAACACACATTCTTCTCAGGTGCACATAGAACACATGCTATAGAAAAGATCACTTGCTGAGTCTTAAATAACCTCAATAAATACAAAAGGGTTGAAGTCATACAAAGAACATCTCTGGCCATGTGGATTTTAAAATGATAGTTGTAACTGATAGTAAGTAATATGGTCCATTATTAGTATGGCCAACCAGTACATCCAGTTCATATGATTCTCTTTTCATTATACATCTCTTTTTCCTCATTTAATTTCTGAAGTTAAAAACACTGACTCCCAAGCAGTCTGGGGTCAAGAAATTACAAGGGAAATTAGAAAATATTTCAAGAGGAATGAAAATGCAAACACAACATGTCAAAACTAATGGGATGCAGTTGTAAAGGGGCTTAAAGAGAAATTTAAAGCTTTGAATACTTTAAAAAGAAAAATCTAAAATCAATAAGCTTCTTTCCACCTTAATAAACTAGATAGAAGGCTTGGAACAATGGTGTACACCTGTAATCCCAACTTGGGAGGCTGAGGCAGGAGGATCTCATTCAAAGCCAGCCTCAGAAACTTGGTGAGGCCCTAAGTAACTTAGTGAGACCCTGTCTCAAAGTTTAGAAAAATAATAAAGGCTTGGGATGTTGCTCAGTGGTTAAGCACCCCTGGGTTCAATCAGAGTACCAAAAGAGAATAGAAAAGAAACTAGATAGAGAAGGGAAAACTAAACCCAAAGTAAATGAAAAAAGGGAAATGAAAAGAATTGAGAACTGATGGTACAGAACTCCCCCCCCCCCTTGCTGGTATGAGACTGGAAGGAAGGAGACTGTAAGGTGTGAAAGGACCTTCCTGCCGAGCCACAATTTCCCAACCTCTGTGCCCTTCTTGCCTCTCAGCTTCCCTCCCAGACCTCACTCACCCTACTCATTCTTGCCCCCTCTGTGGACTCCTCTGTGCCTCAGGGACAGCCATGTTGCACCTGCTGGGCAGGCAAACTGCACCAACCCAAGGGCCTGGCCAGCATTTGTCCACCTGGCTATCATGCCCACTTGCCACCCACCAGGCCTGCTTGACTGTCTGGGTCAGGAACTGTGCAAGGTCTATAACCAGCTTGGAATCCGTGAGCCTGTTTGAAAATCACGGGTGCTGGCAGGAGAGTCAAGTCCCAGTCATAGGCAAAGGACTATGCTGCTCACTGCCCACCATTAAACTTCAGCATAAGCAAATTCAGTCTGACCTTTTTCTAAACCCCAGGGTAACACTAGGGGTCCAAATGGAAGCTACACTTACAGTGGGCAAAGAGGTAGCAGAAGAACTAAGGAACCTGGTCCAGCACCATAAGCAGCAATACATATTACAGTAAGCAACAAACCAGTGAATCCCCCACCTACACAAAGTGGTGCCTGGGACTCCTGGGCTGCCCAGATAACCAGGCACCAAAACTGCTCTGCATCAGGACACAGAGCAGGTTAATGTGGACACTCAGCAAGGACATGCAGGACCTGGGTAATGACCCTCCCCACAATCTTAAGCCTGCTCAAGGGTCACATCACCCATAGCCACTTGCTTTGTTCCTCTTTAATCTTCATTTCTTGGATTTGCAGACCAACCAACAGGGGACCAGGAAGGAGGTTATACAGGTTGAGATCCCTCCCTGTGATTAGGCTCCAACTGTGCCCGCATAACTAGGGTATTTCTAAGTCCATTTATGGACTTTTATCTGCATTCATTTGTTTTTACCTCTATTTTCTATAACTCACTCCCTTTGTAAACACAATGGAGAGAGGCGATTGCTTCTCCCACTATGGCCATGCATTTACCTTAAGTTGAATATTTCCCTTTACATGCTAAGGCTGAGTTTTGAGGTGTACAGGTATTGAAAATTGTTTTATCACCATGACAGATCAAATCTTTCATCAGTATAGATTTAGTGCTATCTCCAAAATAATGCCTTTTGCCTTAAAAGTCAACACTATCAGGAATAAGTATAGTTGCCTGGGCTGTAAAGCTTCATTTTCCACAGAAAACACGTGGCCATTTATTTCCCCTAATCTGCTTTACCCTGGTATTTGAGGTCTGATTAGCTTTTGATAGACAACCAGGAGACAAAATCAGGACCAGTGAGGCTGTCCCTGGTGGTTATGGTATGGGTGGTTGGAGTGGCTCCTCACCCACAGACAATAACATACTAAATATATTGTCCTGATGTGCAAGGTACTGGCAATTTCTCATGGAACAATAGAAATGTACTACTTTATATAAATGTCCCCAAACGGAGCAGCTCTGGATTATGTTTTTATTCAGTGGCCCTTCAACTCATCCTTCCCACTGGACCTTGTGTAAGGTCCTCCCACTCCTAGGCCCCACCCCTCAGAGCCTCAGCATGCAAGCAGAGGCCATTTCCACAAACATTAATTAGTGACCATCAACAGGACTCTCTTTTCCATGTCCCTCACCCCTTTGTGAAAACTTCCCTAGACATGCCACACAGTCCCAGCATGCCTCTGGGCAGAACTGGTTAACCTAAAAGATCACTTAAGATCAGTCTCAAATAATCTTAAAATGCTCAATCAAGATGATCCCTGAATAACTCTGTGTATAAGTACCATAACCAAATCATGACTTTCTCAAAGTTAAAGATGGCTTATGTAGACAAAGAAACGTTATTGCCTACTACCAACTATAATAATATATCAAAATTAATAATTTTATGAATTATGATAATCCCCATTACCGCTACACTGATTACAACACTAACAGATTACATGCTGTTTATAAAGGGAGACAGGTAATATTCAAAGCACGATGCTTATCTACAGTGACCTTCAAGGCAGGTTCCGTTTTTACTGTTTCTGAATATGTACAAACAGCAACTCACAGAGATCAGTGTGTTGAATCATATATAGAAGTAGAACCAGGGATTACCATGTTGCCCTTTGTGTAGCAAGAAACGCAGCACTACATCACTGGAAGTACACATGAAGAGATTCCCCAGATACACAGCACTAGACACGCATGCATACCTATGCTGCTGCTCCATCTAAAACTAGGAGAATAAAGAAATTTTCCTTCCATAGACTACTTTCCACTGAGTTGATGAAATTACTACTATTACTCACAGCTGTTCAAATTAATCAGTCAGAAGCTGTTAAAAATTATGTTCCTGATTATGCAGAAATGCATAAGTCAGGTTTCTATTGAACCCAGTGGCTAGCTTTGTATTAACGGCAAACTAGGGAAAAACAATTATTTTCTTAAGGGGCAGTTTGGTAATAACAGTCATACAAATTTACATATACTCAGAGAATAGGAAAAAAAGTTATGTAATACAACACCTATGTTTAATATAAAAAGTGATAATATAATGCTAAGTGTATATATTCTCTATCCACAGTTATGCTGGGTTCCATAAAGGAAATTTTTTGTTAATAGAGAATGTTCCTAAGTATAACCCCGTATTTGAAGGGGCAATTCTGTGCACTGTGGGATGTTCAATAACACTCCTGGCCTCCACTCACTAGATGCCAGCAGGAATCCCAACATGTGGTTATAACAATCAAAAATGTTCCCAGACACATACTCAAATGTCACCTGGAAGATATTACTAGTCATGTTTAACTAAAAAAAAAAAAAGCATCATTATAATACACTTGACAATCCTCAGGAAACATTACTGAATAGCTTCTATTCTTTATGATCAGTTTCGAAATATGAAATAATACAGAAGTTCTGAGCAAAACGCTAAAGGAACTACATAGATTCTTTTAACCGCATATAGCAAAGTGCAACAATGAAATGACTTACAGGCAGAATTTCATATTAACAGGAAATCAGAACATATAAATTTGGAAAGTTTACAGCCTAGTCATGTAAAGAACAGAAAAACATGCAGCCAAGTACAGCCAAGAACTCTTATATTTAGATATATTTTATGAATATGCAATTGAATATATATATGAAAATTTATGGGTAGGATTTTGTTTAGAATTAGGGTACATACATGTTTATAAACATATAAAGGAACATATATGTAAATATATATATGAGTATTCAAATTTTTGTATAGAAGATTAATGGTTATCTGCAAGGATAAATTTAGTTCCGAGTTAGGGACTAGGTTGACGGTGTTACCACTGGAATGCATATATCAATATAGAATTAAAATTATATGAAAGTTTATAAATATATATACTTTTATCTATGGCTATTTTAAAGTTATGTGGTATTTTGGTTATGTTAAATTTGGGGCTTGCCAATGGAAATGAAAATATATATATATAAAATATCTGGATTTTTCTGTGAATTTAAAAATTTATATCCCCAACTATATAGGTACATTCATGTAAAGTGATCTGGTCTATATGTGTAGAGGTTTCTGTTGATCCACAGTTGTAGTGACAGACCATGTAGTTGAAAAAGGGTTAAGGTTAGAGCTAAGGTTTAAACATTTATATCCATATGTATAAATTCAATATGGATATACATTAAAATATTTATATGTATCTGGATTTGTGTTGAGATGGATGCTCACAATTTGACTTAGATGTATGTTATAAACATATAAATGAATATGTATTAAAATTTATGTGTAGTATTTTGTTTACTGATAGGATATATGTATATGTATGAATGTATATAAACATACAGGAATGTATGTATTAAAATACATGAATATTCAATGTAATGATTATAATTTCTGTATAAAAGGCTCATGGATATGGGTAGTGTTAGGTTGAATTCTGAGTTATGGACTAGGCTTATGGAGAGGGTTACCTTTAAAATGTGTGTGTGTGTGTATCAATATATGCATATAAATCTGAATGTTGAAGTAGAATTATATATGTAAATTTATTTTAAAAATAAATAAAACCATAAAAAAAGAACCAAAACTCTTACATAGAAGCATTAGTCTCTATGATTGGCAGGTCAAGCATTCTGAACACAGTTATAATTCCCATAATTATAAATTCTCTTCTGTACAAAAATATTGGAAGCTTTTGAAGGGCTGATGTATTAAAGATATTTATTTTTAGCTACAATGAGATGTTTCTATTGTAATGCAAACAGATCACACATGAGATAGCCCAAAAGAGTATTTACTTTTCACTCTCATAAAGTATAAATCAAGGGTTCTAGGACAGAAGTGGGATAATCCCTGATCTTGTGAGTCATTTCTTTTTGTCTTAAATCATAGTTACCTTCTCCCATTTAAAGTTCTGAAGGACAGCTTAGTGGCCATCTTCACACGAGATCCACAGAGCATGAGACATCTGGAAGGACTGACAGCACAGCTTTTATATTGCACCATGATTGGAAATAAGATTCAACACTTGTGCCCCTATTTACCTGAAGAGCTATTTACATGGTACCCCAACAATAACGGGGCACTGAGAAATGCAGGCTGTTTCCAGAAGGAAAGAAAATGGACTTTGGAGAACACTTGGCCAGTCTCTACCATACAAAATTAAGAGTGCTGTGACCTGGCAAGAGATTTTCCCACACTCATATGTTCTTGGGGTGTTTCCTTTACATGACTTAACTGGTGCTTGCTGTAGTTGGACCTGTGGGAAAACACTTTTCCACATTCTTTACACTCATAGGGCTTCTCCCCTGTGTGAATTCTCTGATGTTCACCAAGATTTCCTTTCTGGCTAAAGGTTTTCCCACATACATTACATTCATAGGGTCTTTCTCCTGTGTGAGTTCTCTGATGGACAATGAAGGCTGATCTATTGTTGAAAGTTTTTCTACACTCTTCACATTTATAGAGATTTTCACCTGTGTGATTTCTCTGGTGTTCAGTGAGTTTTGACTTGACCCTAAAAGATTTCCTACATTCTTTACATTCATAGGGTCTCTCTCCAGTGTGAATTCTCTGATGCTTGCAGAGGTGTGGCTTCTGGCAAAAGGTTTTCCCACATTCTTTACACTCATAGGGTTTTTCACCTGTGTGAGTTCTCTGGTGTACAGTGAGGCCTACCTTGTGATTGAAAGTCTTCCCACACTCATTACATTTGTAGGGTTTATCTCCTGTGTGAGTTTTATGATGCTCCCTCAGGTGACAATTCCGGGAAAAGGTTCTCCCACATTCATTACATTGATAGGGCCTTTCCCCTGTGTGAATTCGTTGATGGATGACAAGGTTGGACTTACGGTTGAAAGATTTCTCACAGTGATTACATGCATAAAGGTTTTTCCCTCTACATGCCCTTTGATGTATTATAGGGTCTGAACAGCTAGTGAAAGTTTCCTTATCTTTAATACATTCAGAGGGTCTCTCTCCTATGTGTATTTGCTGACTTTTAGGCTTTTTGTAGAAAGTTTTCTTCCTCACCTGAGTTGTCTCTCCACCAATAAAAAATGAACCATCACAGCCTTTCCCACAGTCCTTCTCTCCACAGGTATTTCTCATAGGAACCCTCTCATATTTCAATACATTCACCTGTGTGTTCAAGGCTTTAACTTGTCCACAACGTTCAAATTCCTCCTGCTGATTCTGACCAAGATGCTGAGGACATTTGAGAGACTTCCCGATTACATTACTTGAATCAGGTTCCCTAGAGAGAAGCCTGTTTTGATGTACATTAAACCCCTCAGGCCTTGTTTCTAAATAGTTCTCATTATTTAAAATTAGTCTTGGGCTCAATTTAAATTGTTTTCCTACTTCAACTCTCTCCTTAGTTGATGAATTGCTGTTGGTGATTACAACTTGCCACAAACGTCTGTCTTGACTTTCTTGGCCATTGTCTATTTGGTCATCCACTTTCTGGACACCTAAAATGAAAAACAAAAACAAATTCATAAATATAAGCATTTCTTATGGAATGCTCAGGTAAAAGTTCTTTCTTCCTGCCTTAGCAGCCTACCATTTGTAATTAATCAATAATGAATAGTGACTATATGAGTATAGTCATGCATCACTTAATGTCAAGAACACTTGAGGAAAAATGTGTCATTACACAATTTTGTTATTGTGTAAACATCACAGAGTGCGCTTACAGAAATCTAAATAATACAGGACCTGTGTGGAGACACAGTAAACACAAGCTGAGGCTGCTCCTAGGGTAACACAGCATACTGTCTAAAAACAAACATTTTTATAAGTAGAAGAGCATGCCTTAAAATAATAAAAACTATAGTATAGTAAATATATAAAACGGTACCATAGTAATTTATTATAATTACTGCTACAGTTTGAATGTTAAACATCCTCCACAGGCCCATGTGTTAATGACTTTGTCTCCAAGTTGGCACTACTGGAAGTTGCTGTGGACCTTCAGGAAGCCGGACCTAGAGGCAGGTCCTAAGGTCACTGGAGGTGTGTCCTCGAAGTAGATTGTAAGAACATGACGAATCCTCTCCCACCCTTGTTTCCTGACTCATAATGTAAGTAATTTGCCATCATGTTCCCAATATTTCCACCCTTCCCAATGGCCAAAAGTGATGAGGTCTCACTATTTTGGACCAGAATCTCCAGAACCATTAGGCCCAACTGAACTTTACCTATTATCAGTTAGCTGCCTTAGGTATTTCATTGTAGTAAGAGACTAAAAATTATCAAGAATTATGTCCTATACACAACTTAGAGGACTAAGTTTTACAATACCAGCTTCACCACATACATGTGGGTTATGCACTGAGCTATGACATTATAATGCTTACCATGTCATTAAATAATAGGAATTTTTGAGCTGTAACATAATCTTTTGGAACCAAGATTATTTAGATGGATTCATGGTACATAATAGCCCGAAATGTTAGGCAGTCCATGACTACATGATCTTCCTTCGGATTTAATGTAATAAAAAATATACTATCTGGGGTAGTAAGTTTGACTCTTTTCCCTGTGCTAGATGATGACAGCTTTCTCCAAATTCCTAATTAAACATGGCTTACTTTGCTTCTCAGGCCATAACAGATATGAGATACTTTAACCTATAACCCTGGGCTTCCATAACATGCTGGTCTAAAGCAACTTGCTCCCTAACCCATGCTGTGCCCACTAGAAACTGCCTTTCTGATTTCTTCTGAGATCCACAGCCTGACTTGTCCCTCCGATTCCTAATGCAAGTACCTCTGTCACACAATTCACTGCTTCTGAAAGCTTTTATTTTATGTACTAAAGTTTCAGCTGCTTCCTATTTTCTTAGAAAATGGAGCTTCACATACATTTCTCATCTTCTTTGCTCTAGAAGGATGTTCATAAAGCCAAGGGAAAATAGGGACTTCAAACTCAACTCTCAGAAATTTGAGCCCTCCAAAATGAAACCTTCGTTTTCTTGGCCTGGAGACCCAACATCTCCTGTTTCTATTCTGAAATCCAGGCCCACCTTTTGCTATGCTCCTATTCTGGGTCCTTCTCAGATTCATGATTCTTTATTTCTGGATGATAGGCTCACTGCTAGACTTCTTTTCTATCTTATCAACTCTCTGATGACTTCCTGTACAAGAATGACTTTAACTTTTTGTTTAAAGATGCTAATGTCCAAATTTGCACCTCCAATAGGGATGGTCCACCCTCAAATATAGATTTTATATTCACCAAGGTATTATATGTGAGTAGTGGTGAAAAAGTTAACTTGATCTGAAGCCATACCAAAGTAAATACATAATAATTCCCTAAAACTGCCTTCTCTGACCATCCTTTCTGAATTATCACATTCCATTTTCTTTTCTCACTATGGTTAAATATTCTATATATTTCCCATCCAATTAATTCACATTTTTCTTATTTCTCTCTCATTAGAGTGTAAACTTCATAAAAGAGGGACAATATATTGATCACATTTGTTATAAGTACATTATAAAATTTCCACTGCTCAAAATCTGCTTAAGAATAAATGGATGTATATTTTTAAAATGCCTGGAGGACTAAACCCACTTCACTGGAATGGTGGAAGACAGCAACTGAAAATGTGAAAAAGTGAGAAACAAAGAAAAAGATTTAAGAAAAGGAAGGCAGAGAATAGACCAGAGGTAAATGTTTAAAATACTCAGCAAAATAAAAGGCAAGGATTTATGTATAAGAGCCCTCCCTGTAGACTATATAATAAAAAAAACTTTGATCCAGCTCTCCTCAGGTCTGGGACCTATAAAGAAATCAAAAGCTGTAAAGAAATCAAAAGAAGGGCTGGGGTTGTAGCTCAGTGGAAGAGAACTTGCCTAGCATGTGTGAGGCACTGGGTTCAATTCTCAGCACCACATAAAATAAATTAAATAAAGGTCCACTGACATCTTAAAATTAAAAAAAAAAAAAAAAAAAGAATCCAAAGGAGGACAGAAACAAAGTATAGGGGCAGAATGGCCCTTTGTCCAAGCTTTATTTATGTCAGTAGGTTACATTAGGTCACTGGCATCAGTAGTACATTATTGTTCATTGTGTCATTAGGCAGGTTACAGAGTTAGCAACATTATGCAGGTTATTACTTAGTTACAAACTACAGTTGCAATGTGCAATATTAGAAGCTTTTTGTAGATCTCAAGAAAGTCCATTGTTTAAAGCTACTGCTGAGTGGACAGGTACAGGCACAGCAGTGAAACACACTCCCAGGAGGTATGTGCCTGAGATCAAGGTCAAGGCTGATAAGACTCTAGCACAGAGCCTCCTCGTGCAGGGCATTGCTACAGCAGCTAGGCATCTTGTGTCTTTGCACAAAAACTTTCCCAGCAGTTAGGCATTCCATACCTTTGCACAGAAACTTTCCCAGCAACTAAGCATCCTGTTCTTTTGTACAGAAACTCTCAGCCACCAAGCACACCACAGCCATAAAATCATCAGACAATCCAATCCCAAATACAGAACCCTTACAGGGACGCAGCAAAAAAGAGGTAGAATAAGCTCAACACTCCCAACATCTGATGAATTTTACTGTTCCCAATCTCCCTGTGCTCAATATGCACTGACTGACCTGAGAGGGTCTGGTTTGGGTGTTCCCCTACCATCCATGGCTCTGCTCCTTGCTCCAACTTAAAGATCACCTCAGGTTTTATAATGCAGTGCCCTGTTAATGAGAAATAATGTAAGATTTTGCCAAACTGCCACATTAGCTCCTTCCCAAAAAAAAGAGCTTGGCTTCAGGAACTATTCAATGAAAGGTCTTGCCCACATCCTGCATAGGCGATGGAAGTAAAGGTTCCTCTTGGTAGAGTGGGATGGCTGCGAAACAAAAGCTAAGAAAGAGAAGGAAGTGAAAAAAACACAGGACACAGAAAGTAATTTTTAAAAAGCAGGGGCGGGATAGTCAATCTTAGGGATTAAGCTTCCACACTAGAAAGAGAGCAATGAAGGCTTTGCTTGCTTTATTTATTTGGGGGGAACATCAAAGGTTTTCCATGGACTATTCTTTGCCAAATAAGGTAGGAGGTGGGCTGTCCAGTTTCCAGCGGGTTATGCCCAACACAAAAGTTACAAGAGCTGTCTACTCAGTAGAGCAAAGACAGAGATTTCATGCCTTGGGTGATCTGATTCACATGGGAGAGCCGGGATAGTTCCCAAGGAATAAAACCTAAGTCTCCATGGCTCAGTACCAAGTAAAGACCCCTCAAGTAGTTCACGATGGCTCTCTACAAAAAAGGCCTTTCATTAATAAGGCATGACACACTACTAGGTGTGAGAGTACCAATCTGTAATCCCAACTGCTCAGAAGGTAAGCAGGAGGATCACAAGTTGGAAGTCAACCGAGGCAAGTTAGTGAGATTCTATCTCAAAATAAAAAATAACAAGCACTCAGAGGTAGCATCCCTGGATCCAACCCCCAATACCAAAAAAACAAAGGCACATTCTACATGAATTAGAATCCCATACCTAAACAGCATTAAACCTTATAAATGGTTCTTATATTTGCCAAATGGACGCAGGGAAGGATATCGCTCCCGGAAGTTATTGGGGAGTTTTGCTCACCCAGTGACACTAGGCTGTAGTAGGTCTCCAACATCACATCCCTATACAGGGTCCTCTGAGCATCATCCAGGTTCTGCCACTCCTCCCAGGTGAAGTCCACAGACACATCCTCAAATGACACCAACCCCTGCAACAGCACATTTCTCCTCAAGTCATCAGTCCTCCAGAGATTGTGTCTGTCTCCCTTCTATATAGGTGTGTATGTCTTTCATGTTTCTTCCACACAACAGAGAATGCTTTATACTATATATGATGGATGAAGGAAAGATCACAGTGAAAGTATCCACAGTAAAAATTTATTATCAAAAATATTTATTTTAAATATCTAGACCCATACTTGTTGTGAGGGAGATAAGCATGAATAAAACTCTGTTCTTATGATTTGATATAAAGACAAAGAATATATGCAGACCTGGAATGATGTGCAAGATGAATTAATACAAACAGAAGTGCAATATAGACTGGGGGGAAAAAAGGAGAAAACACCATTCTATTTTGTATTATGAGGTTGGTGTCACTAAAACACGAAAGATGTTCAGCTTTTCCATGTGAACTGTGTTTTCATGAATGTGAATACCACAAACAATGCACAACACATTAATGAAATTAAACACAGTGCCCTGCCACGGTGAATGATCTTGGGCCATGATAAGAGATTCATGCAATACTGAAGGAACTTATTGTTGAGTTGGTCTGAATTTATGATCCAATTCCAACAACAAAAAGACTGTATGTACCTACCATCTTTTAATTGTTTATACATTAAAAACATATACATGTCCCAAAATGTCCTTCCTATATGCTAAAGGATTGTTTGTGGGCACGACAGGGTGAACTGCCACTTCCCTAACCACACAATGTAAATAAGGAAGCCCTATAAGAAAAAGTAAGTTTCATGAACAGATATGCATTTAATAGTCAACCCTGGAAGGAGAGTGGCAAAGAGCTTAAGAAAGAGTGATAAAGGAAGAAAAAGGGTGACAGCTTACCACCTATATTAGAACAGAGAGCAGTAAATATACATAATGAGAAAATGAAACAATGAAAAGTATAAGCAGAAACAGAATGTGGTATTAACTTGCTGAACAGAGGGTCAAAGAAAACTATTACTTCCAGGCTACATGTATGATGGCAGTTAGTTAGATACTGCTGCTCCAAAGTGAAATGTGAAAAATGGAAGAATGTGAGGGGGCAGAAATAACCTAGACTTGTAGATATCGCAAATGAAATAACTGAAATTTCTTATGTGGGATGTCCACCAGGCAACTGGATATGAATCTGGAATACAGGAAAGAGACATCAGCCGAACATTAAAATTTGAAGTACCAAGATTTCAATGGTACCTGTAGCCATGACAGTGAATAATCTTAAGAGATTAACAGGGAATAAAGGGACTTCCACCCAAACAAGAAGGGAGAAATAATACTGAGAGTATCAGGCTATCTCAAACAAAAAATGAAGATGTACACCCACACAGGTGGCAAGGCTCTGGTTTCTGATTGTCATCACATGCTGAAGTGAACTGTAGCTGTGCCTCATTACCATCTTAAATCTCTGAAAGATATGGGTTACTCTAGTGACTATTCTATACCTGTGTTTGCCCCTCACCACCTGGAATGTGCTCCTCCTTTTCAACTGTGAAAGTCCCTAATATTATTTTCAGAATAGGCCAAACCAATTCTTCCAAAGATATAATTTACAAAAACTCACACAAGTAATACACAATAATAAATATATATTTATTAAAGAACAGAATAATTATTAATCTTCAAATATAGTACCTGTTGTGTATACATTCACCGGTGAATTCAATAAAATATTAAGGAAGAAATTATATCAATTCCCTACAATCTATTTCAGAGGAAAGGAGCAGATAGAATATTATGGTTCATTTTATGAAACCAGCACTACCCAAATACAGAAAACTACAGACCATTACCTCTCATGAACACAGATCCAAAAAAAAAAAAAAAAACAAAGAAATTCTCAGTAGAATATCAGCAAATTGAATCCAACAATCTACAAAAAGAATTATACATCAAAACAAGTGGAATTTATCCCAGGCACACAAGGCTGGCTCAGCATTTGAATATCAACTGATACAACTCATCACATCAATAGTCTGAAGAAGAAAAAAAAAATCACATGATTACACAACAGATGCAGAAAAATCACTTGAAAAAACTTGCCATCCATTTGTGATTAAAACTCTCCTCAACTTGATAACAAATACCCACAAAAACCTACATCTAACAGGTGAGAAATTCAAACCTTTCTTGCAAGACTAAAGAAAGCAAGGATGTATCCTCTTATCACATCTTTCATAACTATAGAAGTACTAGCTAATACAGTAATACAAGAAAACGAAATAAAGGTTATGCAGAAAAAGAATAAATAAAACTGACTACAGATAATACAACTGTCATCTATGTAGAAAAAAACTGTTAAAGAAAAAAAACTGGAATAAGTGATTATAACAAGATTACAGCCTATAAGGTTAATGTATAAACATTTTTCAATTTCCTAAATATCAGCAATGAACAAGTGGAATTTTTAAATGAAAACACAGTACTACTTATATTGGCACCCCAAAATGAAATCCATATGAATCTAACAAAATGACACAATATCTCTATACATACAAAATCTTTCTGAACAAAATCAAAGCACAACTAAGTGAGTACTCTATGTCCATGAACAGAAAATCTCAATATTATCAATGTCAGTTTTTACAAACTTTGACCAAAAGATTCAATTTTAATGGAACAGAACAGAGAGCCTAGAATTAGTTCCATATAATTATAATCAACTGGTCTTTGACAAAGGAATGAATCAAAGTTATTCTTTAAAATATATGGAGTTGGGACAACTAGGAATCTATACACAAGAAAAGTGAATCTAGACATTCCCATTATAAAAATTAAATCAAAATGGATCACAAACTAAAATGTAAGATGAAAAATTATAAAACTCTAGAACATATAAAAACAACCTAGATGACCGAGGGGAAAGTAATGACTTTGTATATACAAAGCCAAAATCAAAATTCAGGGAAGAAATGATAGATAAATTGGATTTCATTAACATTTCTTCTTTACTGCAAAAGACATTGTCAAAAGAATGAGAAAATAAGTCATAGACTGGAAGAAAATATTTGCAGAAGACAAATCTGATAAAAGGGCTGTTATGTAAAACATTAAAAGAACTCAAAACTCTATAGCTATCATAAGAACACAAAGAGCTTACCAGATACCCAAACAGAGAAGACACAGTCAATCAATAAACACAGGAAGAGATGCTCTATATCATAAGACATCAGGGAAATACAAATTAAAATAATAATGAGATATCACTACATAACTAGTAGAATGAACAAAATATGGAACACTGATACCAAATGCTAATGAAGACATGGAACAAGAGAAACTCACGCACTGCTTGTGGGAATGCAAAACAGGACAGTCACCAAGGGAGACATTTTGATGATTTACTATGACACTAAACATGCTCTTACCATATGATCCAGCAATCATGCTCATTGGTATTTACACAAAAGAGGTGAAAAACACTCCCAGAATAAAAACCTGTAAACAAATGTTTATAGTAGTTTTATTCAAAGTCAAAATCTGGAAGTAATTAAGCTATCCTTCAAGAGGTGAATAGATAAAACTGTAGCATATGTGGTCAATTAAATATTACTCAGCACTAGAAAGAAATGAGCTACGAAGTCCTGAAAGGCATACAGAAATCTCAAAAGGCACATTATGAAATTTTTAAAAACAGTCTAAAAGGGCTTTTTACTTTATATTTCCAGCTGTGTAACATTCTGGAAAAGGTAAAGTTGTGGAGAAGGTAAAAAGATTAGTAGTTTCCAGGGCTGGGATGAGGAGGGATGAACAGAGGGAGCACAGTAGAATTTTAATGCAGTGAGAATACCCTCTATGGCACTATAATGCTAGAAACATACCATTAACATTTTTCCAAACCCACAAAGTGCACAACACCAAGAATGAACCATAACGTAAACCATGGCCTTTGGACAACTATTAAGTGTCAATGCAGGGTCATCAATTGTAACTGATTTCCCACTCTGTTGAGGAATGCTGACAAAGGGGGATGCTGTGCATGTGTAAGGACACAACTATGGAAGAAATCTATGCACCTTCCTCAAATTCTACTGTGAAATTCAACTGCTCTAACAAAATAAAAGAGGTTTTCTCTTTTAAAAAAGAAAATCCAGGAGTGGGGTTGTGTCTCAATGGTACAGCACTTGCCTGGCATGTGTGAGGCCCTGGGTTTGATCCTCAGCACCACATATAAATAAAGTTTAAAAAAAAAAAATCCATTGGCAGCTAAAAAATATTTTAAAAAGAAAGAAAATCCAGTCACTTAAAAGCTTGAGTTTGATAATTATTACTTAATAATAAAACAAATATTAAAAAATACCTTCCTACTTATAATATAAAAGCACTTAATAATAATGAATGGATAAAGAAAATGTGGCCCATACAGGCAACAGAGTATCATTCAGCCTTAAATAGGAAATCCCTCCACTTGTGACAACACAAATGTACCTGGGAACATTATGCTAAGTAAAATAGGTCTAGACACAAAAAAGTACTGCATAATGCCACTAGCAATGACTCAAATGTATGTGTTCCCCAAATTTCACATCACCATGTGGACAGTATTAGAAGGTGGGGCCTCTGTGGGGTGATCAGATGAGAGTTCCTTCCTCTGGAATGGATTAGGGCCCTTTGATAGAAAGGGCTTCAATCACTCCCTCTGCTTTCCATGTCCTTCACTATGTGGGGAGGCAGCAAGACCCTAACCAGATACCAGATGCCAGCACCTTGATCTTAGACTTTCCAGCCTCTAAAACTGTGCAATTTCTGTTCTTTATTAAGCACCAAGTCTCAGGTTTTTGTTACAGCAACATGAATAGACTAGGATACTATATATATCAAGAATTTAAAATACTCAAGCTTACAGAAGCATAAAGTAGAATGGCAGTTACCATGTGCTGAGGGTCAAAGGAATTGGGGAGGTGTTGGTCAAAGGGTATTAAGTTTCAGTCATAAAATATGAATCAGTCTTAAATCTACAGAACAGTATATGCAATTCAGAATATTATGTTATATACTTAAATATCTGCTAAGAAGGTTACCTTCTGGGATACTACATATAGAATCTACCTATAGGTTTATTATATATAAAATGTAATAAACATTATTACATTTTAAAAGGTGTTTTACATATAAAAAGAGGGGATACAGTAGAAACTTGGAGATGATATATTAATGTATCATTTTTTATTTTTTTTTATTTTTAAAGAGAGAGAGAGAGAGAGAATTTTTTTAATATTTATTTTTTAGTTTTCGGCAGACACAACATCTTTATTTGTATGAGGAGCTGAGGATCGAACCCAGAGCGGCACGCATTCCAGGCGAGTGTGCTACCGCTTGAGTCACATCCCCAGCCCCTTAATGTATCATTTTGGGGAAGTTACAATAAGTGAGTAATGCTTATTCATAAACTCATCAAAATGTACACTTTAAATATAGACAATTTCGTACATCAGTCATACCTGAATTTTTAAAATTATATAATTAAAAATTGACAGCAAATAAGTATTTGCAAGTTTCCCAGTATATGTTTATTTTATTATTAACTTCTGAATCTAGTTGGCTATCTCAATACACTGAGGTGACAATATTTTTAAACCAAAATACATGATGTAGTCTAGAAAATATATTCTCCAATGGTGAATATATTCTTCCACAAGGATGCCAAGCCCACTCAGTGCAGAAAAGTCCAGCAACCAGTGTTGGGAAAACTGAATATCCACATACAAAAGACAAGCTGGAACCTCACCTTACACCACATACAAAAATTAACTCAAAATGGTCCAAAAACCTATATTTAACACTAAAACTATAAAACTCTTAGGTGAAAATGTAGCAGAAAGGCTTTATAAAATTGGATTTGGCAATGACTTCATAGATATAATGTTAAAAAGCACAGGTAGCAAAAGTAAAAATACACAAATGAATGTAGATCAAAAAAAATTCTTGTGCATTATCATAATTGGAGTAAAAAGACAACTACAGAATGAAAGAAAATAGTTTTAAATCATATATCTCATAACAAGTTGATATGCAAAATACCTAAAGAACTGCTTCCATCCCACAATTTAAAAAAAAAAAAAAAACGAAATAACTTATTTAGAGCACAGATAAAGGACTTCCACAGCCATTTCTCCAATGATGACACACTAATGGCCAACAAGCATATGAAATATCATTCATCATTAGAGGAATGCAAATGAAAGACACAATGAGTTATCACTTTACACCCAACAGAAAATATCAAGTATTGGCTAAATTAGAATCCTTATAAACTGATGGTAGGAATGCAAAATGTTGCAACAGCTATGAAAAATAGGATAGTGGCTCCTCAAAAAATTAAAAATAGATTTTCACTATGGTCCAACAGTCCAATTTCCATGTATATATATCCAAAATTGACTGCAAGACCTCAAAGAGATATTTGCACACACTGCATTGCTCACATAGACAGGATATAGAAGCAATCCAACATTCCCAGGGACCAGCATAACCTAATCAAAGAACTGGAGCAGGTGCCCAACATGAACAACTGCTCAGACGAGTGCCTACAGGGTGCCTCCTGCATCCCACCACGCAGCTGCAGAGAAGTGGTCCACCATGTTCATGCTACTCTCTATAGGTGGCAAGTATGTGAAAGGGCAGATGGTAGGCAACCAGGATCTGATTTGTTGGGCTTTCAGCCAGCACTGAAAAGGTGGTCATTCTTTGTTCTTAACCAACTTAAAATTCTAGTCCATAAACATGTAAATATCTATCTTTTCCTGCTCATTTTTAACTAGTTACCTGAAATAGAAGAATTAGTTATAATCTTTCAAAGAGTTTAAAAACATGACATATATTTTTAAACGACAAACATACAAGTAAAAGACATTAAAAATGTCAGTGCTTCTTGGTTTCATTCTTCACAAATATTTTTATTGACTTGTTCAAACATTCCAACTAATTCCTGAATGCTTTTTCTCTGTGTACTGCTAAGGATGTCACATAGCTAGCCAGAATCAAAGTCTACTTGTGATTGAACCTCAGCACCTAGCAAACACACCCTTTAGGGGACTGTGAGTCCCAGAAGTTCTTCCCTCTATGCTGCCACCATGTGCAGACTCAAAAATAAATGAAAAGAACAATCAAACAAGAGTGTCATGGGATACTCACTTTACGTAAGATGAGATTAGATGAGATGAGACCTAAAAAAGGAAAAAGCTCAGGAAAAAAAAATCCCTTTTCAGTAATTTGGGTCACTGACTAAATGGCAATAATGCCATACGAAAGAAATAGAGGAAGATGAGACTTTCAATTTGGATTTGTTGGTTTGGAGTTGCCTTTTGGACGGCTACGAAAAAATAAGTAAAGGAAGTTAAATCTATAGTCAAAAGACCAAGCTAAAAACAGGTTGGAGCACCCAACCACAAAGAGCTGAATCATCAAGGAGAACTGCAGAGAGGGACAAACCGTGAACAGGATGAGACACATGGATGAAGAAGAAAAGAAATACAGGTAAAAGAGAAGAACCATCACTGAGGCCATGACAGAAACTAATACAGAAGAATTTCCAGAAGATTATCTGCAAAAGCCAAAGATTCAAGTAAGGTAAAGACCAGAGAATAGTACTAGATATGACTATAATTTAGGTTACTGGTGAGCTTTAGAAGAACTAGAGCACTCGCCTAGCACTTGCGCAATCCTCAACATAAAAATAAATAAATAAAACAAAGGTATGTGTCAACTGCCTAATCTAAGAACTGGAGCAGGTGCCCAACAGGAGCAACTGCTCAGACTAGTGCCTCCAAAAAAAAAAAAAAAAGAAAGAAATGAACTACAACTACATTCCATGGGTTCAAGTCCAAAAAATGTAACTGAATGATCTGATGTATAACCTGTACACATGAACTGAGGAAAAATTTAAGGGTCTATGGTTGACTCAGTCCTCCACACATTCCAAGTTTAATCCCCGAATCCAGGATGGTTGTGCAAAAGCTGTCTGGAACCACATTACTTTAGCAATTAGGTAAATCTATCTAATGCTGAACACAAAAAGTGTTCATTTCCAAATTGTCAGTGAAAAGTTTTCCACTACATCATCTATATAACCAACAAAGACAGTGTTTCAGACTTTGGTGGTAGCAAGTTTTCATGCCCCAAGAGGATTTAGCATGCCCTCCTCTTATGTTCCATTCCAATCATGTAACAAGTGTGACCGTCTTTTTGCCATGGTGTCAGAAAGATCAGAGACAGATGCATTAAACTTAGGTGACTCTGAGGTCTTATAACCTACCTATAATCTACATGCCAACTTTATGTCCAGTTTCCTGAAGCTGAGTTTTACTTATTTCTCTTTTTCCATTTTAATTTGTGGGTCTCACAAAGCTCACCAAATACAATGACAACAAAGTGAAAAATAAATAAACAACTTACTAAAGATTTATTCAGTTTTCGTTGCTTTTGGACACAGAGAGAGAACTCTGGAAGCATGGCTGGAACAGCAGGCAAGTAGAGTGGACTAAGGAGAGGACTGGTGGAGCTCAGTACATTATTATTCTGCTCAAAACACTCTACATATTTGCTGAAAAAGACAAAAAAATAAATAAATTAAAAAGCCTCTATGTGAGAGAATAGTTTACTCAATAAGGGACAACTAAGACCCTATTGAAGATGCATTTACATTAAGGTAGAGATTAGACTTAGAACTTATTTGGGGGTTAATTAAAACATGCATTACCTACTAATTTTATATTAATGTTGCCTAAAAATATAACTTAATTTAAATCAAATTAATGCTATAGAAATACAATTGGGCTGTAGTAACTATTCCCCTATTAATGTGGGGATTCCACACAAGACTCCATATAACTGTTTCCACTATAACACATTTTACTGATATATACCTAACATCATGGAACAACCCAACATTTCACCCACAATCATATAGGTAAAAATGTGCACAACGTGTATGTCTTGTGGTACACTGCTCCAGTAATGCTTCCCAGTGACAGAACTGTACCCAAGCCCTTGTACAGTATGTTCTGACAACAAAGTGGGCTTTACCATTTCACTTGCTTTGGCCAGTGGGTATTAGAAATGCAATACAAATATTAGTTTGAAAAGTACTTGCCCACCAGCATTTGCCCTCTTACAGAATTAACATTAAAAAGCCTGTGGTTACGCTGTTAGAAACCCAGAAAAGAGCCAATGGCCAGTACAAACCACCAGAAATGGCAATGAAGCCATCCTGCACCAACCTCAGCAAAAATTAGACTAAAGTTTCATTTGTGAACCAAGAAACATAAGCATAGAAACTGCCCACATGAGCACACCTCAAAATGCAGATCAGTACCAGGCGTGGTGACACATGTCTGTAATCCCAGCAACTCAGGAGGCTGAGTCAGGAGGATTTCAAGTTTGAGCCCAGTCACAGTAACTTACCAAAGCCCTATACAACTTGGTGAGACCCTGTCTAAAAATTAAAACTAAAGAAGGGATGGGAATGTTGCTCAGTGGTTTAAATGTTCCTGGGTTCGATCCCTGATACAAAAAAAAAAAAAAAAAAAAAAAGAGGCAGATCAACAGAACTTTAAGCTAATAATTTTTTTCCCCTTAAGCCAATAAGTTTTGGATTGGTTCCTCACACAGTGAATGCCAACTGACATATCAAAGTCACCATAGTTCAATGCTTTTAACAAAACTACCTGGGAGAGATTACATGTCAAATATAATCAAAAATTTTTTCAAAACCATATGTAGAGGACCGGGGATGTGGCTCAAGCGGTAGCGCGTTCTCCTGGCATGCGGGCAGCCCGGGTTCGATCCTCAGCACCACATACAAACAAAGATGTTGTGTCCACCGAGAACTGAAAAATAAATATTAAAATTAAAAAAAAAAACATATGTAGAAGTTTTAAAAATCAGAATGAATGTAAGTTCAATGAACTTAGCTGAGGTTGCTGGCTCAAACAGATATCATATGAATCATAAAACTGTATACATCAGTAAACTTTTTTGTCATAGTCTGTTTACCTTAAAGTCTGTTACTTTTAGTGTACAATATATTTTATTTACATTTTAAGAAACTGGTTTGAAGTGTCATAGGTCTAACTTTAACATTTTAAACAATGTATGTGGAAAATGTATGATTTCTAAAAACAGATTATCGACATTAAGTAGGAGACATTTGTGTTATTATCCCTTTGAGGTCACATAATCTGCAGAAAATGTTGGAGATAAAGAAAAGGATAAGAATGCTTAAGCCACAGTATTATAAAGCAATGTTTGTTCTATATTGACTTCAGTGTCACAAAAATAATCTCAAAATAAATAAACACTTATTTTGACTTAATTGTGGCAAAATGGGTAGTGGAAGAGAAAAAGTCAATCTGGCTAACATTTGAAATCATGTGACCCCAGGCAACTGAATTCAACTTTTTTTTTATCTTTCTTATAAAGAAGAAATACTTTGGAAAACCATCCCTGAATTATCAGGAAGAACTATCAGAATAGAAGTGGCATCAGCATATCCCTACATGCCAAATCTGGTGATATGTAAGGGTTCTGGCGGTGGAAATGTACAAGACAGTGAATTTCCTCTCCTGAACAAACTCCCAGGGGAAAACAGATGTTTTGTTTTCCACAGTTGGAATATTCTGCAGTTTCTCCCAGGAACTAGTAAGATAACTAATACTTGTGCAATCCCTAGCTGCTGTGGTACTGTACTCCATAAGGAGGCTCTATACTAGAGTCTTACCAGCCTCGACTTTGATCTCAAGCACATAGACCCTGGGAATAAAGGAACTTGCTTGCTAGATAACAATATTTCACCAAGCTCCTGGATCTTCCTGCCTAACAGTAACTTCAAACAGACTTTCTTGATAGCTACATAAAGCTCTAACATTGCATATTGGAACTATAGAATATAATTGCAAAACAAGCAACCTTAGTGATATACTAAAAATAATGTAGTTATTGCACTAATGATCTAATGTAACCTATTGGTATAAATAAATGTGGCCCCTTGGACCAGCAGCCATTTTCTGCCTCTGCATCTCTCTCTGTGTCTCCTTTTCTTTACAGTGATAGACTAAGTTTGAGATAACTCAATGTATAGCAAACAATGAGGAAAAAACACTGAAGGAATTGCAGTGTGTACAAAACACTGTAGACAGATGCTTTCAGATACGCCTCCAGCCCAGGCCACATCTTTAATCATTTTCCATTAAGTACCATTTCCTAGGCCCTTGCCTATCCTCCCTTAGCTCAGCTTACCTTTCCGCTCTGAAAGATGGTTCAAACTTTCAATCCTACCAAGTCCTTGACAGCTACTGGATGAGGTACAATCAACCAAGTCCTGGGCATTCTACACAGTAGGGCCAATAATTACTTAGGCTATGCAAAGTCACCTTTCTGGCTCTTGTGCCTTTGCGCAGAATCACTAGTGGGAGGATTCTGGCCATGGGTGTAGTTTCTCAATTGGAATTCCTATTCATGGAGCCACTTCCTCAAGGTGCATTAAGAAGTGCTTGGTTCCAAGGAAAATGAGACCATCATTGTAAGGTCCTTGCTTAGCATCTGCACGGCCATGTTAAGTGATAGCCATCATTTTACAGTCATCATTTTAAGAAAAATTTCATTTTCCCACCCAAGGGCCTTTCTGAGATAGGCTCACTACTCCTTCATACCAACCCCACCCTTAATGGCCTGCATTAGGACACCATTTCTAATCCCTGAGCCTGCCCTATAAAAGTCCGGGATCCCAAGCCAGTTTTGCCTCTACCTCTAAGGAGAAAGGTGCTTTATGTGTCAGCTCTCTAACAAATAAACTTTCATGTGTATCTCTACCTGTTCTCCATCTTTCATTTCTCGCTGGGCCAGTCTCACTTATCTCCCTGGTAGACTAATTCACTGTCCCTGGAAACTAGGTCTTCTATAAATTTCTATAAACTCCTGTAACTAGAGGTGGTAGGCAAGCAGTGAAGCTGGAATTAGGCAGGCAGGCAGGAAAGATAGAGTCAGGTGGAATCAAGGAGTCCAATTTGAGTAAGTCTGGGAAGCTGGAGACTGCCCACTGAGGGGCAGAAATGTTAATTCCTTCAGAGCCCTTCCTCCACCCTTATCAAGAACCTGTCCCAGCCCAATCTGTTGCTAAGATAACCTGTCCCAAGAATTGGCCCTCCCTACAGGGAGCTATAAGATTAATTAAAGTGTCATTGCTGCTCCTTCTGCCCTTCCCCCTTCAGGACTGTCACACTGGCGGTATCAGAAGGACCAGAAACCTCACTTTCCGAAGAGTCACCAAGGAACCCCACCGACCCGAGGGCCGCAGGGCAAGCCTCCGAGCGCGCTCGCGTCACACTGATCAACTTCTCTGGGAATTTGGGGGTCACTTTCCTAGTACGGTTAGGAAGCTTCTCGCCACCCGGGTTAGTGCGGGATCCGAAGGGCGCGCGGCGTGGGACTTCACGGTAGCATACCTCCGGCTCTAGAGCCTCTGCTCCACCGCCTCCCTCAGAACCTCCGGCCTTCTGGAGGCACATCCCCTGCCTTCTGGCGGCGACGGGTCTCCCGAGGAGGTAAGTCCTGAAAGCACAACCCAGTCGTCCCTTCCGCAGCCCCGGGCTGGCACCGTCACGGCCGGACCCTGAGATCCGCGGACGTTTCTGATCTCCCCTAGTAACAAGACACCCCTCCTGCTCCTCAGGGACTTCGAAGCTCGGGGACCTCCACCCACTCACACCAACTTTCAAAAACAAAGAACGCAAGTCCGGGCGTGCTGTGGAGCGTGGGGAGAAACTCTGCCCGAGAACTTCAGCGGAAACACGGCGGGAGTGGGCGTGGCCGCGCATGCTCAGAATGAATCGGACAACCAGGTGGGCCATGTCAGTGAGGAGACTACATTTCCCACGAGGCACTGCGCCTGCCCTTGGGGAACCCGCAAGGAGGGAATGTTAGTTTTCTCTGTGGCGAGTCCGGGTACCCGGAGACCCGGATGTACCTGCACTGGCCTCAGGAACTTCCTGATTGAATGCTGGTTTGAGAAGCTGGTTCGTTGTGGAACCCATGGAGAAATTGGAATTTAGGCAGAGAAGTCGTGATGTTAAAAATTGGCTTTAACTTTTTTTATTTTGTTTAAGCGTATTGCGATTATTAAATCGACGTCTACTTTTACATGTGCATTCGAAAGCTTTAAAAGTCATGTCTACATTTTACTTCAAATTCGTTAACAAGGGGACTGGGATTGGGGCTCAGTGATAGAGCCCTTGCCTGGCACGTGTTAGGCACCCACTGAGTTCAGTTCTCAGCACCACATAAAGATAAATAAAGGTATTGTGCCCATCTATAACTAAAAAAAAAAAATGGTTAATAAGAAATTAACGTTAGCTCTGTCTGAGCTCATTAAAGAAGTGTTCTCACACTCTAAACTAATGAGTGGGTTTTCAATGAATTATATTATTGAATTGGAAATTCTTGGGTAGAAGAAGTTAACTATCAGGGTCATAGAGTGTGTGCAGTGCATAATCCTTGTGCCAATCCCTTTACACTCTGGTATCTGATAATTATCTGCTCAGAATCTGTAGTCATTTGTTCTTTTTGGAGAATTTTGCCTTTTCTTCTTTGGTTTCTGCCACAAATTAGGCAAGAAGTTCTGTACAGAGATTTCTCAAAGCTTCCAATACCACCAACTGCTCTTCAGACAGGGAAGTGTCTGGCTGGAGTCACCAGGGTCACCAGGTTGCTATGTGCTTGAAGGTGGAATCAGGGTGATGTGAGAAGCTTGGCAGGTGAAGTGGAGAAGCTTGGCAGTTGGGGGACAGCGATGTGAGAAGCTTCACTCTTGCTCAAGACCTATGCCTGGTTTTCTCTTTTCTTAACATGTGCTTTGCCCTATTCAAATTCCTCCAGCTCTCTTCTGCAGATTCAGAGTAGTCAGCTTGATGTTATAAAAGCTGATGATACAAAAATGAAATCATTCTTCTCAGACCCACACAAATAAGGGTTTAGAAGTTATGAAGAAGGTGAGTCCGAGTCATGCCTGCCTGCCTGCGATGAGTACTTTCTCAAGATCTTTCTAAAGGCACAAAAGAGATTTCTTCTTGTTCTATACACATCTCAGTGCTTTGTACATCTAGCACATTTACACAGATTTCTGTAACAAAAATTTATCTTTAGCATTGTTTAAGATGGCAACAACTCAGACCAGATATTCTTGACACACTTGCCAAGCAGAGATACCTACACCAACAGCTGACACCAACTCCTGCATCAGGTCCCCAAACCAGCAAATTTTGACCCAAGTAATTTAGGTAAAATGTATCCCTTTTTGCCTTTATCACTTTCCTTTTGCCTCAAACTCCTGAATATACCCATAGTTCAGTGTTGCACAGGTATTCCCATTGCAATACTCTATTATACACCAGGAAAAAAAATCACTATTCTTTGGAGAATCTCACACTGATTGTTATTTCAGTTGACAACCTTTGCAGATCCTACTTGCTTCAGATTTTGAAATTTTTAGGTTCCCTCTTAGACATTGAATCCCATATTTATCTCTTAAAAATCTGTTGGTGTCTGGGAGTCCTTTAAGTACAAGATGATTGGCAGGGTTTGGGTAGGAAGAACCAATGCCTATATGAACAGTCACTCCTCTTAGTAGGCCTCAGTTTTCTACCCAAAAAATATATGTTTGGAGGAGTATACACCCCACCCAGCCCACTTGTAATGCTCAGAGGGGGAAAGAATAAAGTTCCCTTCTTCCGTCAAAGAAGATGATGTCCTCATTGCCAAGGAGAGGGGACTCAGGGATGACACACAGG